CTCTTCCTCCCAACCCTTGCCCCCCACATCCCTGCTACATTGTTGGTACATCTGGAAACTGCTAAAGGAGAGGAAGGGAACAGAGGTGAGGGTGCAGTTCTTTACTGTGCAGTACCAGCACGAGGTCTGCAGGCTAGATCCCAGTGGGTTTGCGGGCTGGATCTGACCCATGGGCTGTATGTTGCAGACCCCTGCTATAGTCTGTAGAGACCAGCTATAATACATAGATGGAATAAAATACATTATCCTTACAATAAATACTAGTGTTCATATTTGTGAGTGTTCCATGTTGAGATGTTGAAGCATTTGCTTCACTTAGTCGTCTCATGTTGCTTTTCCAAGGTAGATAAATATGTCTTTTACTGCAGATCCACTTTAGCCTGCACTTCACTCAGTGGAAGTGACAAGGCTCGCCTGCTTCAAGAAGGACTTGTTAGCTCACAGCCAGCTTTGCTCTAAGTGACCTGCTGAGGGCCACCCAAGGCCTCAAGATATTCCAGCCTCAGCCTCATTAAATTCTGTATTTTTTATCTACATCACAGATTCTGGGGAAGTAGGATATATGGATTGGCTTGATGTCTTTGTTGCAGTAAATAATTCTAGTGTTGTCTTACGACTTTGAACTTCAACTCTGACACAGTGCCGTGCTGTATTTGACTGATGATGGGAAAAAGCCATGGCCTTACACAATTGTTTATTCATATTTAGCAGTTTTTACACCCCCACCACTGTTTCACTGGTCAAGGAAAAAGAAGATATAGATGAGAGAACGTCAGATTTCAGGGTATTCTTTTGGTTTTGGCACTGAGACTGAAGACAAGTATTTTTTTCTTACGGAAAATAGACATTGATTGATGTCCAGGAACACCTATTGTTTCCACTACTAATAGAAAAATGTTGTGGGCCACTATTTCTGTTGTAGAGGCCACTGGGACCCCACAGTAGATATTGTAAGTGACCTGTTCGAGGTACTTACATAGATATATAATGGATTATTATTCCAGTAACTATTCAAAAATGCTGGGAGTAGAATGAAAGGGAACACAGCTATTTTTAAGGAGAATGTATTTTTTCACCAGTCATACCAATTATCTACTATCCACCCTTTCTATAACCGTGTGCTGTTGGTGTCTATAGAATTTAAGATCAACAATAGCTAGATTCTTGAGATGTCTTGATTCAGGATTTACCAGTTGGCAACTCTGGCACTTAAACTACCTTTTATCTACAAGGGCCACTTGGAGCTATGGAACTAGGGAAACAATGACTTGCCCTTTCTACTCTTAAAATACATGCTTTTGGAATAACAGTAAATGTTGTGACTTTCCTCTGAAAATGCAAGAAAAACTCAAACTCTGTGCTCCAGATTTAGTGATTTATACTTCAGATGGTCTGAAGGTGAAAGTTTTACACACTAATTATTTGCACTAAAAGAATATTTAACTCTGTTTTCTTGTGTCTTAACACTTCTTCCCTCGGTTTAATGTTAGCTAATTGTTTGTGTGGGTGTATTTTTATACCCACATATCCACCTATTTTCATTTTCTGTCACCATTGAGCTAGATTTCTGTTCACAGCAATATATTAGTAAAGCTTGTTGTAATGATTACTTTTATTTTCTTAGAGCTAAGGTCCTAAGATCCATTACAATGCATACTTCAACCTATTTGCAGTTAGGGGACAGGACCAGTCTGTTACTGGCCACAGGCAAATGTCCTGCCCTTGGAAGTTTCCTCCAGCTTTATCTGTCTCCCCATAGCTGACAACTCAGACCTTTTTATTGCCGAGCTATTACTGCAGAAGTTTCCAAATTGAATTTCAAATTTCTGATTGACATTTTCGTTCATTAAGTTTCCAGTTCTCAGCTGTGGCCATTGACTGTATGTATTTGGAAAGATTGTCCTTTCAACTCTCCTGTTCCTGAGAAGTTCACAGGTTTCAGGGAATAAATCAGGTCAAAAAAGCTAGAAGTTAAAAAGAAAGGATCATCTCTCTCGTTTCACCCTTTATCACTGTCTTGTTGGAGTTCCTCTGTGCCATGGTGGGCATAGTTGCTTTTACAGTCCAGTTGGGCTCTGTTGCCTTAGCTTCTTCTCTCTTGTGGCCAAGAAAGGACCCAGGCAAGAAGCACCATCCCCTTAAGATAAAACTACAGACAAAACTAGTTCTAACACAAGCAACTTTGCATTTTCCCATCTTTTTGATGGATTTTTTTCCAGTAGGCAGCAGGTCATATAAAAACTTGCACCAAAGTCCATGCAACGTGGTTGGAGCTGAACTCTCTCTCTGTGGGCTGTAGATGTAGAGCACTGTTAGTGGTGGTAGCTGCAGTCAAGGGCCTTCTCTGCTACCACCTCTATTACTGGCCTCCCAAGGATTCTTACTACTCTAACCCAGACTGGGGTTTCCAGGGGAAGTATAAATCCATCTGGCCTATGAAGCTGCCATGCAGAGGAAGTGAAGCTTTTGAGGGATCTGTCAGCTAATTCCAGCCTTTCATGGAACATCCTCACTGCACCCAAAAGGACCCCATGCCAAGGGAAAAACACACCCCGTGTCCTAGACAAAAAGGTTCCTGCCTGTCGAAATATTTTGGGGAACAATTACAAAGTTCAGTTTCTCTCTGCTTCTACTTTCCCTTTCATGCAGCATTCTTGGGATACATTGCCGCTATAAAAAAAAATTAAACTGACACCCTAGATGCACCGGGCTTGGGCAAAATTTGTGGTTAACTTAGTGCTATATTAAACAAGTGAAACATTGGATCTATAGCATGTTGTGCACTGCATTTGAGTGTATATGTGTTCCCAAGCAAAAAGATCCATTTTCTGTAATACAGTATTACCAGCTTATTCAAAGAAGTACAGTTTTGTACAAATTCTATTATGAAGTGTTTGATTAAAGCAAAATTGCATTGTATTCCCATGGCTACTGGGGACTGCAGGTAAAAGCCCTAGGTCTCATTAGTCTAGAAAATAGTGCAGCGTGAGTCCAAACACAAAATTGATGGCTAGTTTGGGACATCATTTGCTATATTTGGTCATTTTATGACTCTGATACCTTGAAAGGGGTGGGACTATACACGACCTGGCCAGAACGCTGGAATGATGGATAGCACTGTGTGCTATTCCCAACAATTTTGGAGTTCATTGGGTTGTGAATCACCCTTTCCCAGTGCTATCTGTATTTAATCCCACTACTGTTGAATGCAAAATACACCATAGTGAGAGGAGTTTGGGATGCAAGGCAGGGTCTCCTCCCTTCCAAGGCAGTGCCCTTGTCACTGAGTAACACTCGTTGCTTTTCTGTCCTCTTCCCTTCCCTCCCCACTGGTTTTGAGAATTCTTTGGGTGTGCTCATTGATTCCAATAATTACATCTTAATATTTTTCTCAGTTCTATTTAGACCAGATCCCCACCCCCAACCATAATTTCCCTTCTGGCTGCTCAGTGGCTCAGCTTCAGCAGAAGGAGTAGGAGGTGCCCTTGGTCCTGCATAGTCCATGTTTGGTGGTTAGGCTATTATGTTGGGGAGAAGATAGATGCGAGTTCAAACTCCTTCTGGCTAAGTCAAGGACCTGGTCTTTCTACTGTCTCTGCAAATGCCTTAATAACTAAAGCTAAACTAAAAAAGCAGGAGGGTCCCCCTATTCCATCAAACATCTGTTTTTAGCGTGACCAATGGTAAGGGGACTTTTCACAGAGTGAAGTGCTTTCTCAGTTGGGATAGGATTGTCAAGAGAGTGTAAGTGGCCATAACCATTCCTTTTTGCACGTAATCAGGAGGATGAGTTTGGTAATGTAGGTGGAAATAGGCTCTAAAATCCACGTAAGTGCCACAAAGTGTTTCTTATGCTCCTACATTTAGTCACATAACTAGCACTTAATGCTGCAATAGGGTTTGGGCCATGTTCTTGACAGCTGTGACAGTATTAATCTCCAAAGTAAATCCAAGAAATATTGGTGCTTATGGTTAAGCATCAAGGTCTTGTCATAGCACTAACAGACTTTGGAAAAAGAAGTGTTCTCTTATACATAAATATGGCTAGTGGTCACTAATATATAAATTAATCAACCGCTACAGTGTTGAGCATCTAGTCTCTAGCAAAGCCATTTTTATCAAAGGTCTTCTCCATGCTTTGGTGCCCATAAGAAAATGGAGGATATATAATACCTTGTCTTGTATGCGTATATTCAAGGGATAGTCCTGCTTCCTACCCTGGAGTCATACTGCAGTGAAAATCCCATTGTAATTGATCTATGGACCTTAGCATAAGGATGAATAGGAAAAATGATCAGTGCTTGCTTGAAAATATCCTGTCTTTGAAAAGTAAGGTCCACAGGTCAGGCCCACCCTGAAAAAAACCTGATCATTCAAAGATCACTGTTTTGTTAGGAGGAATTATCCATGGTTTCCATTAGAAGAAATGGGTCTTTTTAACACAGTCTGTAATATAGGAGCATAAAAGTATTATCCTGGATATGAAAGTTGCCTCAACTAGAGGAAACTTCAGAGGGAAGGATATTTGTCTGCCACCAGTGACTGACAGCTGTTTCCAAGCAGTTAGCAGGCTAAACTACCTTTATGGACCTTGTCACTCAAAAAGGAAAATTTCAGTTAAGCACTGATAAATTGTCCTATTTTCTAATACTTATTTATCTGCCTCTAAAAATGCTTCTAATACTATTTCATAATTCACTTTTGACTGAACAGAATTGGCAGAATTAAGCAAAGACTACGGATCTGGTCCAGTGCCCCCCAAAATTAATGGAAATTCAGCCCCTTTAGATAAGAGCATGTTAGTTATCTTTCTTTGATACAAATAAGCATTGTTTTCTTAGAAATAAGCACAGTTACATGGGTGTGAATGAAATTGGGATTGGGTTGTATATAATCCAATTGAAGTTAATGCTCATAAATAAAGCTGAGTAGTGTTGACATTAATATCTGATTTATACTCTAACATTGTGCATGTCTTGTTCTGCTTGCTCTATTCTTAGATGCACAGCCTACAGATGGAGAAAGGGAAGTATGGAATCAAATCAGTGCAGTTTTACAGGATTCTGAAAGCATGCTTGCTGACCTTCAGTCTTACAAAGGAGCTGGACAAGAAATTAGAGAAGTATGTTAATGTAGCTATGACAGTTCTCTTGGGGGGGGGGGG